GGGGGAGAGGAGAGAAGTTGAATAGATTAGACAAAAGGGAATTATGGGAAGGAAGGGGGGATAGGGATAGTAAAGACAGTAGAATAAATCTAACATAATTTTCCTATGTACATGTATGTAAATACCTACACAAATTCCATCATCATGTACACCCACAAAAATGGGGTCCTAATTAAAATAACATATTCCATGCTTGTATAATATAACAAAATGGATTCTACTGTCATGTTTAACTAAAAAGAACCAATAAAAAAGAAAGAAGGCCTGTCTGAAAAGAAACTGCATTTGAAGTTGAAAGTGTAGGATGATACTGGAATATCTTAACATGCTCCCATAAGTACAGAAGACTCAGATCCTCCTAAAGCAGTACCAGTTATAAAAGAATGATATCATGGATGACAGAGATGTACAGAGGAAACAGAAACACTGTATGCAGCCATGTGGAGAAAAAGAAAAGGCACTTTGCATGCTCGTCATACCTTCTTGCTATATGAAGTTTACAAGAACACCTAGGCTGCTACTCACTTGAAAAAGTGAAGAAAACTGAATAAAGTCTACTAATGGCCAACCTGAGGTCAAAAGTAATAGTGAATAGTGTGAACAGATTTTTTTTTTAAAGAGAGAGAGAGAGAGAGAATTTTTTAATATTTATGTTTTAGTTTTCGGTGGACACAACATCTTTATTTTATTTTTATGTGGTGCTGAGGATCAAACCCAGAGCCCCGCTACTGCTTGAGCCACATCCCCAGCTCCAGATTTTTTTTTTTACTTAAAATATTCTGTTAGAAAGGAGTCTGTTCCACTGTGAAAGCATATATTAGATAACGTATTCCCATTTATGATTCAGAATATATGGTCAATTGATAAAACACAATTCAGTTCTACATTAAAGTAAGTTATAATATTGTACAACACGCTATGCATTGTGGGCTAACTCAAGTCCCTGTAAACAATGATAAACCTCACATATAATAAAAATTCCCATAAATTAAACAAAGCTATAAAGTCCATAAAATTTATCTGTTTCCAACCCATATATAGATGAACAATCATCTCTTGCTGGTTAATAGTAAATTATGTACTCAATATTCTTAGCTTATACTAAATCATTAAGTGTATTTGAAAACAATGTTTTGGAAATGATTTAAAGTGACAGAATAAAGAAATAAAGAGCTAAGTCTGGGACAGCTCTGAAAGAATCTGTACTTTTTGGAAAGCAATCAAAAGATCACCCAAAGTCCCTATTTTTTATAGGCTAATGATTGAATTTCTAAGTTTAAACTTTTTGTTATAACTGCAACATGCTTTTTTCTGGTAATTCAGTTTTTATAATCATTTTCTAATAAAAAGAGGAAACTAACAGAAAGTAGAAGAGAAATGAGACGACAGATTCTATAATAGAGTTTTATAGGAAAGAGCTGGTTGTTCCTAATAGGCCAAAAAAAAATCATTTCCTGCACATATCAATACTGCTGTTTTATTTGCAGCATATTTTCTTCCAGGAAGCATCCAAGGCCCCTTAGAAACCTGCTAACATAGCCAGGAGATATTTCTGGATAATTTAGTAGGTCGCTGAGCTTTTCATGCTGCTTGTCTGTACTTGCATCTTGCTTTGAAGAAGTCCTAACTTCATTGGCTTTTTAGGTGGGGGGCCTATCAGGGATTGAACTCAGGTGCACTTGACCACTGAGCCACATCCCCAGCCCTATTTTGTATTATATTTAAAGACAGGGTCTCACTGAGTTGCTTAGTGCCTCGCTTTTGCTGAGGCTGGCTTTCAACTCTCCATCCTCCTGTCTCAGCTTCTCTAACTGCTGGGATTACAGATTTGTGCCACTGCACCTGGCTAGTCCTAATTTTTTTTTTTTTTTTTGATGGTTCTTGGGATAGAACCTAGGGCCTTGTCCATGAGAGGCAAGCACTGTACCTACTGAGCTATATCTCAGCCCTAGCCCTAACTTTTTATGTAAGAAAAAAAGAAAATAAATTCTCTCAAATACAAGACTTAGAGTTTCAGACACCTGAGAATTTATGATCCTAAAGAATAAGTTAAGAGAAGGTGTCCTGATCTCTTCTCTCCCAAAAGAGACTGGGACAAGATGAGGAGCATGAGAAGACTTTCAGTAAAAGACAAAAATTAAACAAGTGTCTTCCGAAACAAAATACATCTGTAACCTTTTCTTTTTATCAGAAATATTAAAACTAGTAGTAAAAGAACTGCCAGATTTAGACCATTTTTAAAAAATCTTGGATTCAGTAATTAACGTGGATTAGTTTCCCCATCTACAAAATATTATCAGATAATAATGATTTCTACCAATGAAGTCTGAAGTAGCTCAGAAAAAGGAACTATGTGATTATAAGAAACTACATATCATTTCTAGATTACTACACATACAACTATATTACTCTGTATATTGTACTGTACTGTTTTGTTCTTTGTGTTTATAGCCATTACAATTTCATCATTATTCTATGGAATTTAAGAGCACTTGGGAAAAAAAAAGATGATATGCAAGGATAACCATGGAAAATATTTCCCCAAGTAAAGTAAAATAGAAAAAAATTCATGTAAACTTGTAAGTATAACTAATATGTGTAAAAATGTATCCAACCCACTAAGAATTCACCAAACTCCAGATAAGAATTTTCATAACTACAGATGTAATCAACAGCTAGCCAGCAATGACTTCCTGATGACCAAAATGGAAGAGATAAGAAGTTGGGCACTGCTGCAGTTATGGACCATTTTATAATTGTTTAAAATCTTCCTTTACATCATTAGAGGTCTGCTTTTTGAAAGAGAATGAATTCATGATTCTTCCACTCCCTCTTGAAAAGGCTACAGTGTCCATCCAGGTCTACAGCAATTATGTTTAGTATTTATCTCAACATGCTACACTCAGAGTTATTGAAATCAAGTCAGCTTTATTGTTCCCTTCAGCTATTATCTGAAGAATGATTTTCCTATTTGACTGGACTCCAATTTTCAAAGCTACTATTATTTTTAAAGCAATATTTAGTATTTAGAATTATTTAAAACCTTAGGGATTCACCAGATAAAACCCTGTGTGAGTTTGTATGCTATCAAATGTGTAAAACCAATTATTTTAGGTACAAGTTCAAGAGGTATAAGTGATTGTAAAGAATCTATTATTACTCCAGAAACCACACTGGTAATACACAGCACTTTTTTTTTTAAATGGCAAAAGTATTTTCCTATTTGAAACTAGGGAAATCCTCATTTTGATGCAAATCAAAGTGAAAAGGGTCATAATAAAATACAATAAATTGTATAGGTTTTTAAGATGCTAATGTCTTTTACCAAATTTTCCAATTTTATTATATCTATTACAGAAGTCTTTATAAACACACAAAAATCTGAAAGTTCAATAAGAGGAAAACACAATTTTATTAGTACTGTTTATCTCATTTTAAATCAGACTGAAATGAATGAGATAAACCAAACAATTTTTAAGTGAGGAAACCAAACAATTTTTAAATTTATTTATTGGGGGGGGGGTGCGGCTGTTGGCAGTACCAGAGATAGAACCTAGGGCCTCACTCATGCTATGCAAGCACAGTACCACTGAGCTTTACCCTCAGTCCCTCAAGTCAATTTATAGATTAATTTATTTAAGAAAGAAAAATTACATACACAGATGTTGTACATTTCCTAATGTGGAAAGTTATAGGTAGAGTTAAAACCTAAATTCCAATTGAAAAATTAAAATGTAGATTAACTATTTTACTTGCTAACAAAGAAGTGAGAGTCAAAGAGACAGGAAAGATCAGAATTTTACCCAAGTTTCTACACAAGCAGATAGATAATCTTTAAAAATCTAGAGCACAGCCTGGTATGGTGGCACACACGGGTAATATTAGTCACTCAAAAGGCTGAGGCAGGAGGATCACAAGTTCAAGGCCAACCTGGCAACCTGACTCAAAATAAAAAAACAAAAAAGATGAAGATGTGGGTCAGCGGTAAAGTGCTTGCCTAAAATGCAAGGGGCCCTGGGTTCAATCACCAGCACTGAAAACAAAACAAAACAAAAAAAACCTAGAACACAAAGGTGCTGCCAAAATCTAGAGTAATCACTTTCATTTGTACTATTATTCCTTTATACAATTATTCCCAGAGGAATAATTGATACAGTACAATAGCCATATTATTTTTCATTTAGTATTACCTGCTTTAAAACTTAATTCCTTTTGTAGTTATTATTTTTAAGAGGAATCAAAAAGAGGCATAGAAATAAGAACCACATTTTTTAACTTATTTTTTATTATGAATATTTTCTGGCAAAAAAAATTTGACATTTTAAAGTCCTTTTTATTTTTCTTTTGCTCTCTCTCTCTCTTTTTTTAATTCAACATGCTTGTACTATGTTCTTCCTATGAACATGTCCTTATATTCATCACTGCAGCCTTTCTCTATGAAATCTAAAAAGATGTTTAAATATATTTTGTAATATAGACAGTGTGACTTTGAAGAATAAATTATGATGCCTACATTTTTTTCCACAGCAATTTTCCTTGTTTCACTATTTGCGCTCATGTCATCTTGTTCCTGCTCCGTTGTTGTGTTGGAATGTGGGCAGTGGATGAAGCAACTTGAAATGACTCAGTACTAGCAAGTATGAATTAAAGTAAAGGCACACAGCCAATGAAAAAATGCCCTTTAGCCCAATCATAACAGTACCAGAAAAAGGGAGTAGGGAGGGCTTTTAAAAATCATAGCATTTCAAAAGACAAAGTTAGCAATGTAAATTTAAAGAACAAGTACATTAGAGGTTATTAAAAATTCTACCTACATCCCTCATATGAAATTTAGAAACAGATGTCATACAAATGATATCAGAAAAAGTACAGTGTCAAGAGCCATATTTAAATTAATAATGCTACTGAAGGCAAACTATGTTCATCATAATGCTATCCAAACATCTGTGTCATAAAAGAACATATATAAATGACTAAACATAAGGATTAAGACCTCTTACCCCGTATTTACATTGGCGGGAAGTTGCTCCATACTGGAAACGACATTGCTCATCAGCATCGTACACCTGACCTGGGGCCACAGCTGGATAAAGAAAGTCACGCTTGGGAGGCTCATTATCAAGGCAAGTACCACGGCCTGAACTGTTCAACATAAAGGATCAAAGGAAATTAGGTACTCTGTGGACTATTTCAGTCACAATTATGAAACCATGTGTTGAGCTCTTTGTTTTAATAATTTGAGGCATGAAAAGCATCACTCTACCAATAAATAATCACATGGTAAAATAGAATTGCTTTACTAAAACTTAAGAGCTCCAAATAGTTTTTTTTTTCCAGCCCTAAAACACAATAAAAGCATCTTAGACAACAATCTGAAAATTTCATTTTGGACGAAAAACTTTGATTTAAACTAATTTCAGAAAGATTTAAAACAGAATTTCATATTGCTCTAAGATTCTTGTTTGTTTTCATTGAAAATATAGCCACATCTGGTAGTAGAATTAAAAACATGAAATGTGGAAAATTAAAAATATTGTAGTTGTAATTTTGAAAGACCTAATTTATATACTTTCACCTTGGGAAGACAATGGATGCTTTGGTTAGATATGTCCATAGGTTCTTGAAATATTTCCCTAATAGATGGGCTGAATGACAGATGAAGCTAATATTCATAGTATATTAGAAATGTTTAGTCTTTCAAATTTCATCTAGGGTCATCAGAATTGGAAAAGAGAATGTTCTCCTCTATATATAATTTCTGCTTTATGAAGTATGCCTGCACTCAAACATAATATTTTAATTCAGTGGAACAAATAACATAAAGATTGCCAAAAACCAGACAGAATACCTTAAAAAGCTTTAGACTTTGCTAAATGTAATTGTTCATTTTTATTTAGTCAGTGTGCATAAAATAGGACAGATGCTTTTTTACTTTCATTTCACATGTGAGTAAGTTAGAATTTTTAAAGAATTCCTATGCCAACATTTAAAAATTTTTTCCAACATTCTTGTCCATTGTGCCAGCACTTGTGTTTTTTTTCCAATTTTTTTCCATCCACTTTGCCAAAGGAAAATAACTTCACAAGTAGGAGTTCCTCAACTGTTATTTAGGACAGTACAAATTTTCATTTACAGATAGGTAAGAAAGAACTGGAGTTCACTATTAGTCTCATATTCACTTAAAAGTTTCTCACATTCTCAAATGTTACTTGTTTATATAAAAATGTATATTTTCACAGCAGTAAATTAATACCTTTTAAAAATTAAACTATTCCTAGGTGATACAGATTCAAGTAAGAGCTCCAAATAGTGAGAATACTATGTTCTTTACATCCCTTTCTTTTCAATTATACCTCCTTTCATAATTCTTTTAATAAATAAATATATCCAGATGGAATATTAAATATGTTACTAATATACTATTGGCTGTTACAATCATTTCAGTAGTCTCTGTTTAATATTTCTAAGAGAACCTTTTTTTTTTCACCCAGCTATCCAGTTTTCATGACAGAGCACTTGTTATTTCCTTTTTATTGTACCTTTACAAACAGACATGTACCTCAGTAAGACAAACTATTTATAGTTTATAGGTATATTTTAAAATAGCCAGAGCTTTTTATAAATTGTGTATAAATTTTAGATATATGTAATTCTACTAGTAAATTTGAAATTACATATCAGGGTTAATGGCAAAGAGGTAATATTTGAATACTATAATGGAAAAAGATGATTTTGATAATATGGAACATTTGTAGGATGACTAAATTAGTAGTTTAATTTCCAAATTTTACTTCCAAAATGCCCATTTCATTCCCATTTATAATAAAATTATAAACATCTTTATGAAAAGAACAAAATGAATGAAAAATAGAATAAACCAAATACTACTAAAAATCAACAGAAAAATTAAAAATTGTGTACTTAAGGACTTATGTACAGGATCCTATAGAAAACACATATTTACTATTAGCAGGAATAAATGTAGGATATAGTCACCTAAATGGCACCAGCTAAGAATATATTAGAAACAATTATACATAATTACTTTTAGGGATACCAAAAATTAGACTTAAATACTTAAAGGAAGAACTATGTGGACCCTAAAGAAGAATTTAAAAATAGATACACTGAAGAAAAAAATTCTTTCCTGATGGCAAAATTGGTTTAGCTCAGGAAGAATCAAGACTAATCATTTTATTTAATGTTCTTGTTTCAAGGTATTGATTGTCTTCTAATCATGGTTCACATTCTTAATTAAAAAAAAGATAAAAAACAAATCAGATGACCATTGTCAAGGGCCTTCAGACAGATAAGAATGATATGCACTGTGAGCACCTGGAGTCAAACTTTTCTGAGAAAGAATATCCCAAAAATGTATCTTTGTTTCACTTTTTCTGAAGTACCTAGTGCTTTTGTTTTAATGTTGTCTGGTTAAATATCTAGACAAGTCTTGTTCTCCTTTTCCAGTATATTTTTACAGAAGAATAAAACACCATGTAAAATAAAATATAGAAGAAAACTATATGTATCTTTTAAAAATGAACTATATTTAGGAATATCATATCAATGAAGGTCTTTTGAAATGTTTGTTTACATTTTGTACAAATTAGCAAGGTTTGCTAAGTCAAGTGTCTTCTTTTTTATTTATTTATTTATTTATTTTTATTTTTATTTTTTAAATTTTTTATTGTGGGTTGTTCAAAACATTACAAATTTCTTGACATATCATATTCCACACTTTGATTCAAGTGGGTTATGAACTCCCACCTTCACCCCATACACAGATTGCAGAATCACATACATCCATTGATTTACAAATTGCCATACTAGTGTCTGTTGTGCTCCGCTGCCTTTCCCATCCTCCACCCTCCCCCCTCCCCACCTCTCCCCTCCCCTCCCCTCCTGTCTCTCTACCCCCTCCACTGTATAACCCTGAGGGTCTCCTTCCATTACCGTGCAACTTCCCTTCTCTCTCCCTTTCCCTCCCACCTCTCATCCCTGTTAAATGTTAATCTTCTTCTCCTGCTCTTCATCCCTACTCTGTTCTTAGTTACTTTCCTTATATCAAAGAAGACATTTGGCATTTGTTTTTTAGGGATTGGCTAGCTTCACTTAGCATAATCTGCTCTAATGCCATCCATTTCCCTGCAAATTCTATGATTTTGTCATTTTTTAATGCAGAGTAATACTCCATTGTGTATAAATGCCACATTTTTTTTTATCCATTCATCTATTGAAGGGCATCTAGGTTGGTTCCACAGTCTTGCTATTGTGAACTGTGCTGCTATGAATATCGATGTAGCAGTGTCCCTGTAGCATGCTCTTTTTAGGTCTTTAGGGAATAGACCAAGAAGGGGAATAGCTGGGTCAAATGGTGGCTCCATTCCCAGCTTTCCAAGAAATCTCCATACTGCTTTCCAAACAAGTGTCTTCTAATCAAATAAATGTGGGGATATCTGCACAGCTGATTCCAATTGTTTTTACATTCCTATACATGCACGTGTAGTACATTTTCTTCCTAGTAATCATATCTGGTAATATAGTAAACCTTGATTAATATATCTGAGGAATGGGATATTTTTCATATCTTAATTCTTAACTGAGGGTTAATCAACAAAAATGCTTTTTTGCATAAAATTATCAAATTTGCTATTTTCCTGCTCCTTTTAAGTTAGTGAATTCTACAGATAACAATTACTATTTATCAACTTTTAGAAAATAAAAATTCTGGATATTATCATGCCTTCAATTTATCAATTATCATGAAATGTTACATATATAGATACAAAAGGTAGAGAACATGGATCTGAGAGATGTGGATTTAAGCCAGGAAATGCTTTTCCTCATTTTTTTCTTAAGAAAACTTCCAAGGCTCAACTCCAATAATTTTCCCCTTACAGGTAATAATTTTTTATAATAATTTTTTATAATAATTTCCTTGTTTTTCTTAATAATTTCATTTCTCAATTATTCACCTGCCTGTTTTGGACCTCTATACAAAAGGAGTTATACCATAGATTTTCTTTAGTAACTTTGTTTTTTTTGCTCAATATTGTGGATATAAAGTATATGATATATGTAACTGTAGTCTATTCATTTTTATTGTTCTTTAATATTTCACTTAAGACTATGCCACCATTATTTCTCCATTTTTCTATTAGTAAATTTTGAGATATTTATAATTTCTGGCAATTGCACATAATGCTGATATGATTATTTTTTTATAAATGTCTCCTGGTGCAAATGTGTGAATGCTTTTTATTTCATAAAATTATTACTTAGGAGTTTTTAATCTTATATTCTGTAATTTTCTCATTTTAAAAATGAGAAAATTTTCTCATTTTTCCCCAAAATAGAAGTTTTGGGAAATTTTTATTTAATCTAGAGTTACAACTGATTGAGATATAACCATACAATTCTTACTATATTGAGTCTATTGTTATTTATGCTATCAAAATAATAGTACTAGTAATATTACATACAAATTTTCTCAAAATAGCACTTTAAAATAAGTGGTTTGTGACTTGACATCATAAATGCAAATTCTCCACATAAGGCTCACATATTATAAATTAAATGTCAAGTACTATTAGTCTTCATCTATGAAATGTTATAAGTTACTATTGTTATTATAGATATACTTGTCCAGTAAAAAGTGAATACATAAAAAGTATGCTAGGGAAATATGTCATTATTTCCCTAGTTAACATCATATCAACAAAGAAATTTAATCCTAATTAATATCTATAGAAATATGGAAATTATTTAATTTTTACTCTAAGTTTGATAATGCTTCTAAGACAAGGCAAAAATATGTATTAGTTAAAGAATGTGCTTCTTCCTTGATTATGAAATTCATTGTAATTCAAAGTATATTTACATTTATAGAAATCCTTACAGTACCATATTTTTTTGTATTCTAATTTAGAGATCTTTTATTTACATAGTCCAAAAATTAGCCTTGAAAATAGGATTTTGAGCCAGAGTTCAGTCTTCAACTAAAATTTACAGATCCCCAGGTAAAATATGTCCCCCGGCTTTGTTTCCAGAAAACATGATGACATACTCCTAATTGGGATTTTAGATTTATTTTGACCAAAATGATTATATAAAGTATAGATCTTTGCTCTAAAATATGATCAATTTGCAAAAGGAATCTGTCTATATAATTCTGTACATATCTTAACAGTCCCTTAACAACAACAACAAAAATTTAACATTTTTCTTTTTTCTCAACCGTTATGCTAATACACTTAAATTAAGCAAAACTCAATTAGGTTGATATCAGCTATAGCAAGTTAGGTCTGGTTTTTAGGGGTTTTGTTTTTTAACTTTTTCAGTACTGGGGATTGAACCGAGAGTGCTCTCCCTCTGAGCTACATTCCCAGCCATTTCATAAAATTTTATTTTGAGACAGGATCTCTCTAAATTGTAGAGGCTGGCCTCAAACATAATTCTCCTGCCTCAGCTTCCTGAGTTGCTGGGATTACAGACATGCACCACTGCACCAGACTAAGCCAAGTGTCTTTGCCTACTATGGGCTCATAAACTGCTTTATCAATCTTCATGAAACAACTGTATTAACTAAGTGTAACAAATGTGATAATATATTTCAGTAAATGTAAATCTAAATGTATTATCTAAAGTCAAATATTTTTACTGTCACCCTCTATATGACTGGGATATCTAAATATAATTGAACTTGAGGCTGTCAAGATACAAATACTATACTGCCCTTTTACTCTATCTTCCCCTACATATGTAATCATGACTTATCAAAGATATATGGTTAGAGCAAGGTTCCCAAAACATGTCAGATAAACAGAGGAGGAGAAACCTGTTTTGCTGCTTTTTAGATACTACAGTTTTTATAAAGGTCCTACCTATAAATATTGTTTTCCATCTCATACATTGATATTGACCTTCAAAAGTAGTTGCTAAAGAGGAAAAAAGTGCTTTGGCCATCTTGCTCACTTTATAGCACTTCTCTTGTAGCTCTATTCTCACCTTTCTTCCTAGTTCACTTTCAACCAGTGCATCTGAAGGCATTCAGCCTCCATCCTTTCTGTGAAAATGGCTAATCTGTATTTAACTGAGAACTGCAGGAAATGTTGGTATGGATCTTTGATAGTTCAAATAATTTAACAGACTTTAATTTTAAAAGTGCAAGAGTTCATTTACAGAGCCCCCATAATTTTTAAATACAATATGAAGTTAATCTGTACTATTGCTAAGTGGTGGAGAATGTATGAAAACTGGCCTAAATTACTGCTGACTGCCTTCCACTGCCTGGTAGATTAGCCCATAGTCATCAATGAGTGTGAGCCATGATACCAGGTTCATCTTTCTCTACTTTCTAAATTAATAAATAAATAAGTCCCGCAGGCAGATAGGAAGAACACTACCTGCAAAGCCGTCGACGAAAACATCAGAAGCTGGCATAACACGTCCATTTTAACGGAAATGGGTTCTTTATTATTTAATCAGGACGGCTTCTGGGCGATTCATGAACCACTTATTGAATCACCGAGTTTAAGAAATCTGAAAAAAAATATTGGGAGTTGGTAAACACCATCTCCTGATTGATAAATTGCACCTAGTGTTTCAAAATGACATGACTTTGTATTCTACTGGCATTTAAAGGCCATAGAATTGTTTTCAGTTGAACATTGTGAATAGTGAAGTTCTACAAATCATAGAAAGCTCATTGTTAAATCCACCATCATCTTTGGCCTGTACAATCACTAAATAGAAAAAGGTATGCATTTTGTTGGCTGGGCTGCAGTTACTAAACAATTCATCTTTCAAGATTTCTTTTTCTTGAGAAGAGAACCTAAAATAAAGTGTTATGAATCCTTTTGAGCCAACTATAATACATAAATGTAATTTCAATCCTTGATCAAAATATCACTGGATTTTTAAAAATATCATGCATAGCTGTAAAAGCAATTACATTCACTGCATTAATAAAAAGGAGTAAAGAAAGTTACTACTATATCTTTGTGCTCCAGTGAATGGACCTTTTTACAGGCCCTTGTGTTTAAAAATCTTCTATTGGTTGGACAGATTATAATCAGATTTGTTGAGTTTATTAATAAAGAAGGTGGGGAAAACCAACTTTTCTCCAAGTCGCTACCCATTTTCTTTCACATCTATCTTTTATTGATGGTTTTAACTTTGTGAGCATTCCCATGAGGATGCACAAGAGAAATATTTTAATAAAATACAGGATAAATAAGCCCATTAGAATCCTGTCAACACTCATTGGGTTTATATGTACAAAATGCAAAGAAGCAATGAGGATTTAAGAATGCCTTATAGATTAATTATTTTAATTAATTCAGTGGACCACTTTATAGCATCTGGTAGTAATTCTACATCTCTCACCAAACCAGTGTTGATTTCTTAACTGTATTTTACCAGCAATTTATGGATTCTCTTTGGTAGTATCTTAACATTACAAACTAAATAAGATCTGGCAGGAGATCAAAACTGATTCATGTACGTATATATGTATTTTAATAAGGGAAAAGAACACACAAACTTATTACATGCCTAAGGCATGAAAGTATTAGACTCTGGTCCTTTTATTTAGAATACAGAAATGGTACTACATAATGAGTTGTGTAAAAGCCAATGGGATGGAAACAGTAGGAAGGAAAAAAGAAAATGGTCCCCTTGAAAACAAAAGAAGGGCCACCATAAAATATACACTGGAATCCTGAGTGTATTACATAGTTTATCTTTCTGATGATAGAGATTAAGATTCTATTATAAAAAATGAGCCAAGTCAAAACAAAAATCCAGATCTGGCTTTATTTCTAGGGAAAGCTGACCTTCAGTAATGTTTAAAATTTAGGTAAATTGTATCACTAGAAAAGTATATAACTAGTGTTTTGTATTTAAAACTACCAAAAAATGTCAAATTCTCTGTGGTCTATCTTTATAGTTTTTCAGTTAGTTTGGACCAAGGAAAGTACAGTGCTATAATTTTCTATTATAAGATTAAAAATTGTTGGAGTATAATATAGTTATTCAGAAGAACTGCCTTCTGAAATGAATTTCCAACTTCTTCAATTTTATTATTACCTTAATTAATTGTAAAGAGCCCGTTTTTAACTATTCCTCTTTTTCTTTTTTCCTTTTTTGCAGTCCTGGGGCTTGAACTCAAGGCCTCTCTCATGCTAGGCAAGTGCTCTACCATACAGCTATACTTCCAGTCCTATCTTTAGATTTTTGAGTAAAGCACTGTGTTAGGTAATTTAAAAATCTCATATTTGAGGCCTTATACAAATATGAAATGTAAGTTTTCAGAATATATAATCTGGCTAGTAGTGGATAGAAAGAAAATGTCTAGTGAGTACTTTTAACCTGTACAAACTATCTGAAATTTTACAATGCAATCATTGTAATATAAGCACATTTTAATATAAACGGTATTTTAAAACGCATTTCTGTTGTTTGTGCTTTATGTATGCCTCTTTTTTCACACAATATTTATTATCTCCTCCCCAAGGGAAAAATAGCATTAACCAGATATAGGCAATGGTAGAGCAATAAAGCACTGAAACCTTAATATTATTTAAAATAGTAATATTTATCATCTAATGATTGTTTATTAAGTGTTTTACACATATTATAGCATTATACATAATTATATATAACACCTAATGATACAAGCATTATGATTTAAACTCATTAAAAAAAATTAGGACACTGAATATTAGAAAGTTTAAGTAACATGCCCAAACTAACACAGGTAGAAAGTAAGACCTAAGTCTATCATTTCCTCAAATTGAATCTGGAAGCCCTGTGCAGGAAGATGTGGAAAACAATCTCTTTTCATAAACATCTCCTTTCTCTTCATATTTAGATAATCAGACTCTGGTAATATACATTGAAAGATCAGAAAAGAAGTTCCCAAACTGCAGAAGATGGGTTACTGAATAAATCATTTTCTCAAAGTGTTCATTTCCTGGCTGTTTGATTTTTTGTTGTTGTTGTTTGTTACTATTAGATAGTTTGGCACTCCTACATGTTCAGTTTATTTACCAACATAATAAAATATAAAATCACTAAATTAAAGTTTGGTTTATTCTATTAAAGGTATATAAATGTAAATTCTTTCTGAAATTTTTTTCTCGCTTATTGAACAATTCTAATCGCTCATATTATTAATCCCATTTATATCCTTGTTCCCCTTCCTCTAGTTTATTCAGTAAGTTTTGTTTGCACATGAACTGAAAAATTTGCCACAATCTTATATTAAAGCCTGTGGGTATCAGCCAGAAATATAACTGGGCCCTATAAAACAGACTCATTATGCAAAATTTGAAGCACTACATGTTAGGCTTCTACCAATGACTTACTTTTGGAGCAATTAATCATACTCTCCAGAGATTACTTACTCAAGAAAGCTGGTGATATAGTCTCGACTGCAGGCAGACCAGGAAAAAGGATTGGTATTTGCAGTAATGTGAGCTGCCATAAGTTTTGCTGCTTCATGACCTTTTGTCCCACAAGAATTTCCAATTCCATCATGGTTCATACCAAAACTGTTTTAATTAGGAAGAAACATAGGAAACATGAAAGAAAGAAATATGAACAAAACAAAACAACAACCCCCTATACACCTTAATTTCCTTATCTGACCACTTATTAGCCTTATCAGTATATGCCATCTATCAAGATAGACCAGATCCTCTAAAGAAATGTAGGATTAATGTTAAAGAGACTTAGGAATAATTCAGTGATACAATGATATCTAATTCTCTTTATACTTATTATATTCTCACATTCTCTCATATGATACCATCACTTATTAAACAGAAAAAGGAATATATATATAACCTCACTTTATAGAGGATAAAACTCAGATTTAGCAAAGATAAATGACTTATTAAAGTCACACAGTAAGGCCTGAAATTGCTAATAGAACCTGTCTTTTAACATGCTAGTAGTGTTCATCCTACCTCACTATGATGAATCCATAGGGAATTATAAAAAGACGGCTATGATTCATTGAATTCTAGGTTGTAGAGCAAACACAAAAGTCCTGTTCCTTAACACTGATAAAGAAGAATTACATAAACATATAACTTATGTCTATGTGAGTTTAGTGTGTTTTTAAATCATTTGAAAAACCTCGATACATTTTAGGGTTAGGGTTTTTCTTTGCCCAGGCCTCCATTTTTCAAAGATTTTCTTTGTCATCTTTTCCCTATGTCTTATATCCATGCTTAATGCTATCAGTGTGATCTTGAAACACACTTCAATCATAAAAATAATTTTCTGAGTAGAATATATGCTCACTACATATGAACACAGTTTAACTTTTTTCAAAAAAAGTATTTATTTTTTAGTTGTAGTTGAACACAATACCTTTTATTTTATTTATTTATTTTCATGTGGTGCTGAGGATCGAACCCAGGGCCTCACACATGCTAGGTGAGCACTCTACTGCTGAGTCACAACCCCAGCCCAAACAGTTTAACCTTTTTTTAAAGTAAGTAGTAGATGAGATCATTAGTGAAAGCAAATATTAATAGTTATCATCTTGGCAGTGCAGACACACTGAAGGTGTGTAAGAAAAACTGAAAATATAGCATTGACCTGTGTTTTATACAGGTTACTGTTGGAACTACAAGGGAATTAGTGAAGTAGGAAGAGAATGGAGCTGAGGAGAACAGTTGTAAGATAATTACCAATTGAGAAATGATGTTGGTCTGAACTAGGGCACTAGTTCAGATAAGTGGGATTAGATTTGAGACTTGTTCAGGAACAGAATGGGTTGTACTATGAAAAAGTTAATTGATGACACATAATATATTCACAGTGTGGGACAGGGAGGATGACAACCCAACAATAAGCAAAGACATGTATGAGATTATCTAGTACCCTAAAGTAAAATACCCAATAATCTTTCAAGAACACTAATTAGTATTCTAGTTTAACAGCAACACACTGGAATCAACCTCCTTCAAAGGTCTTCCAGGAATGTGAAGGTGAAGTTTAAAGTGGATTGAATTAAACTATACTCTTTCAAAACAATTTCTCTCAAAAAACAATATTCTCTCAAAAAAAGCACTCACCTACTACAGATTTACATAGTGAGCTCAATAGTGTAAATATGCAAAAAAATAATATTCCCCATTGCTCTTAAAAGTTGATGTTACTAATACTACTATGATTCTTTTTAAGTTGTGACAGTTTTATTTTTTTTTTCTTTTTAAATTTTTTATTGTGGGTTGTTCAAAACATTACAAATTTCTTGACATATCATATTCCACACTTTGATTCAAGTGGGTTATGAACTCCCACCTTCACCCCATACACAGATTGCAGAATCACATCAGTTACACATCCATTGATTTACAAATTGCCATACTAGTGTCTGTTGTGCTTCGCTGCCTTTCACATCCTCCCCCCTCCCCCCTCCCCACCTCTCCCCTCCCCTCCCCTCCTCTCTCTCTACCTCCTCCACTGTATAACCCTGAGGGTCTCCTTCCATTACCATGCAATTTCCCTTCTCTCTCCCTTTCCCTCCCACCTCTCATCCCTGTTAAATGTTAATCTTCTTCTCCTGCTCTTCGTCCCTACTCTGTTCTTAGTTACTCTCTTTATATCAAAGAAGACATTTGGCATTTGTTTTTTAGGGATTGGCTAGCTTCACTTAGCATAATCTGCTCTAATGCCATCCATTTCCCTGTAAATTCTATGATTTTGTCATTTTTTAATGCAGAGTAATACTCCATTGTGTATAAATGCCACATTTTTTTTATCCATTCGTCTATTGAAGGGCATCTAGGTTGGTTCCACAGTCTTGCTATTGTGAACTGTGCTGCTATGAACATCGATGTAGCAGTGTCCCTGTAGCATGCTCTTTTTAGGTCTTTAGGGAATAGACCAAGAAGGGGAATAGCTGGGTAAAATGGTGGCTCCATTCCCAGCTTTCCAAGAAATCTCCATACTGCTTTCCAAATTGGCTGCACCAATCTGCAGTCCCACCAGCAATGTACAAGTGTACCCTTTTCCCCACATCCTCGCCAGCACTTGTTGTTGTTTGACTTCCTAATGGCTGCCAATCTTACTGGAGTGAGATGGTATCTTAGGGTGGTTTTGATTTGCATTTCTCTGACAGCTAGAGATGGTGAGCATTTTTTCATGTACTTGTTGATTGACTGTATGTCCTCCTCTGAGAAGTGTCTGTTCAGGTCCTTGGCCCATTTGTTGATTGGGTTGTTTGTTCTCTTATTGTCTAATTTTTTGAGTTCTTTGTATACTCTGGATATTAGGGCTCTATCTGAAGTGTGAGGAGTAAAGATTTGTTCCCAGGGTGTAGGCTCCCTATTTACCTCTCTTATTGTTTCTTTTGCTGAGAAAAAACTTTTTAGTTTGAGTAAGTCCCATTTGTTGATTCTAGTAATTAACTTTTGTGCTATGGGTGTCCTATTGAGGAATTTGGAGCCCGACCCCACCGACTGTAGATCGTAGCCAACTTTTTCTTCTATCAGACGGCGTGTCTCTGATTTGATATCGAGCTCCTTGATCCATTTTGAATTCACTTTTGTGCATGGCGAGAGAAAGGGATTCAGTTTCATTTTGTTGCATATGGATTTCCAGTTTTCCCAGCACCATTTGTTGAAGATGCTGTCCTTCCTCCATTGCATGCTTTTAGCCCCTTTATCAAATATAAGATAGTTGTAGTTTTGTGGATCGGTTTCTGTGTCCTCTATTCTGTACCATTGGTCCACCCGCCTGTTTTGGTACCAGTACCATGCTGTTTTTGTTACTATTGCTCTGTAGTATAGTTTGAAGTCTGGTATCGCTATACCGCCTGATTCACACTTCTTGCTTAGCATTGTTTTTGCTATTCTGGGTCTTTTATTTTTCCATATGAATTTCATGATTGCTTTCTCTATTTCTACAAGAAATGCCGTTGGGATTTTGATTGGCATTGCATTAAACCTATAGAGAACTTTTGGTAATATCGCCATTTTGATGATGTTAGTTCTGCCTATCCATGAACAGGGTATATTTTTCCATCTTCTAAGATCTTCTTCTATTTCTCTCTTGAGGGTTCTGTAGTTTTCATTGTATAAGTCTTTCACCTCTTTTGTTAGGTTGATTCCCAAGTATTTTATTTTTTTTGAAGATATTTTGAATGGAGTGGTTGTCCTCATTTCCATTTCAGAGGATTTGTCGCTGATATACAGGAATGCCTTTGATTTATGCGTGTTGATTTTAAATCCTGCCACTTTGCTGAATTCATTTATTAGCTCTAATAGTTTCTTTGTAGAGCCTTTTGGGTCTGCTAGGTATAGAATCATATCATCTGCAAATAGTGATAATTTAAGTTCTTCTTTTCCTATTTTGATTCCTTTAATTTCTTTCGTCTGTCTAATTGCTCTGGCCAGTGTTTCGAGAACTATGTTGAAGAGAAGTGGAGAGAGAGGGCATCCCTGTCTTGTTCCAGATTTTAGAGGGAATGCCTTCAGTTTTTCTCCATTCAGAATGATGCTAGCCTGAGGCTTAGCATAGATTGCTTTTACAATATTGAGGTATGTTCCTGTTATCCCTAGTTTTTCTAGAGTTTTGAACATAAAGGGATGCTGTACTTTGTCGAATGCTTTTTCCGCATCTATTGAGATGATCATATGGTTCTTATTTTTAAGTCTATTGATGTGGTGAATAACATTTATTGATTTCCGTATATTGAACCAGCCTTGCATCCCAGGGATGAATCCTACTTGATCATGGTGTACAATTTTTTTGATATGTTTTTGTATCCGATTCGCCAGAATTTTATTGAGGATTTTTGCATCTAGGTTCATTAGAGATATTGGTCTGTAGTTTTCTTTCTTTGAAGTGTCTTTGTCTGGTTTAGGTATCAGGGTGATGTTGGCCTCATAGAATGAATTTGGAAGTTCTCCCTCCTTTTCTATTTCCTGAAGTAGCTTGAAAAGTATTGGTATTAGTTCTTCTTTAAAGGTTTTGTAAAATTCTGCTGTATACCCATCCGGTCCTGGGCTTTTCTTAGTTGGTAGTCTTTTTATGGTTTCTTCTATTTCCTCAATTGATATTGGTCTGTTTAGGTTTTCTATATCCTCCTGACTCAATCTGGGCAGATCATATGACTTAAGAAATTTATCTATGCCTTCACTATCTTCTAATTTATTGGAGTATAAGGATTCAAAATAGTTTTTGATTATCTTCTGTATTTCTGAAGTGTCTGTTGTGATATTGCCTTTTTCATCCCGTATGCTAGTAATTTGAGTTCTCTCTCTTCTTCTCTTCGCTAGCATGGCTAAGGGTCTGTCGATTTTGTTTATTTTTTCAAAGAACCAACTTTTAGTTTTGTCAATTTTTTCAATTGTTTCTTTTGTTTCGATTTCATTAATTTCAGCTCTGATTTTAATTATTTCTTGCCTTCTACTTCTTTTGCTGTTGTTTTGCTCTTCTTTTTCAAGGATTTTGAGATGGAGTATGAGATCATTTATTTGTTGGTTTTTTCTTTTTTTAAGGAATGAACTCCAAGCAATGAATTTTCCTCTTA